TTTGGAATGAATATTTAATATAGAATGAGTAATCGGCCCGACTTAATTGATATTTTAATATCAACTTAGTTAGATTGATAAATTTATGTCGAAGATTATCGGCATGAATAAAAATAAGAAAAACTCTCTTATCAAATCAGGTAAAAATTTAAAAACTTGAAACTCAAAAAAAAAAATTCAAACACTTTAATATTACCGTACAACGCGGACCATAGCACTCGGTGTGATGCAAAATTTTACTTAGTGAAAGCTTAAAAATCACATAACTTTCGCATCACGTACGTAACTGTACATGCATAAATAGTATTTTAAAAATCGATCTATATTATTTGTTACACCGGGTACTATGGTCCACGCTGTTCGGTAGTCTTTCTAATAATGCTGAATCCTTAAACATGCGGAGCTTAACAACTATTTTTAAAATTTTGAATTTACTTGATCTTACCTAGTTTTAGTCATTATTCATTGATCGAAATAATTATATATATACTTGAAAGGTTTGAAAATTATGTCAAAAAAATTATAATCTCAGAAAATGAACTATAAAATAATATTATCTTTGATTTTACTTTATTCTTACCGCAATATACATGCACAGGAATGTCTACCCAGATCACCATTGATATCTCCTAGTAATAATAGTATGTCACTCGGCTGCTTAGATGGTCCCGTTACCCAGAATGAAATTGATTTGTTTATTGGTTTTCTAGAACAACCTTCTAGAATACCTATAACTGCGCTGAAAAATAAATTAGCGTATAAATCAGCTGGTCAAGATGTAGAAGCTTTAGGTTTAATGTATGAAGTTACTCAAAACCTTCAAATCCTTGATAGAATGATAACTTATTCTGATACTTTTTTGTCACTTCGAAATGATCCAGTAAATGGACGAATTATGTGGACAGGACAAAGAGAGCTTGTCTGGTGCACAAAACCTGAAAATAAAACTATCTCTGGTTACGCTGGCTCCGAAGGTCTTGATACAATTGGGCATATAGCATACACCGCTTACCATATCCTTAAAACTCCTTGCCTCTGGGACGAAAATGTCACAGACAATGATCCTCATGAGTATGGTACAACATATAAAGAGCGTGCGCTTACATACGTAACTGAAATGGACAAGACTATAGATACCTATTATTTAAAGTATTTCATTCGTGAAAATGATTCGAAAATTTATAATCCAAACTCTTCTGCATGGGATAATCTTGGTGAACTTCCTGCAAATTCGCCAATGCCTTGGAACCGACAGCAAATGATGGCAAATGGATTTCTGAGAATGGCAGAATGCCATGAAATTCTTGGAGATGATGAATCTCGTGTCAATCAATATTTTAACATTATACAAGTTTCTATTGATTGGATAGTTAGTGCATTTGTCCCTGTTAAGACTAAAAATGGCCTAGACGCATATAGTTGGAGTTATACCGTGGGAACTAACTTTACAGAAGAAGTTGGCATTCATGCACTTTATGATATTTGGGGCATGTATCGGGCATGGCAACGAAAAGATAAATTAAATGTTAGCATGGATGTTATGGTTAAGCTTGCTAACACAATGATGTATATAATAAATATTGATAATCATACAGTTGCAACAAGAGTAGATGGTACATATGATAATAAAACCACTGCTTACTTATACGGACCTTGGGCATTCTACGCTGAATTTATTCCTGACTGGTATAAATTTGTATCTAACATGAATACGAAGGCTATAAAAACTCACCCAGAGTATACGGGCGCATTGCTTTGGGTAAAAAACTCGCGTGCATACTCCAATTAGTTCATACATTCTATTGCTCATGTTTCATGCATTCTATTAGCTCATACACTCCCATTACCTCTCACGCTTCTACTAACTCTCAGTCCGGGCATTGCCTAGATATGGGATATTTAAACTGTTGTCAGGTTTAATTTTGTAACCAAGAATAACGCATGTCATTTAGAATCGGTATAGGTTTTATAGATTATTTATTTTTATACATAAATTATTAAATGTAAATATAAAAAATGAATGTTAAATAATAATAATAATAATAATAATAATAATAATAATAATAATAATAATAATAATTTTAATAAATAAATAAATAAATAAAGGAATAAAGGCATATTATATTCATAACACCCGTGTTATATAACACCCTATATGTTTTACTTGGGGTTAGGGTTCGGTTTTAAGATAAATAGGGATTTTTTATTATACAATATATATTAGACATAAGGTCCTAATGGGTCACGATTTCAGTTCCCATGAGGTTTTCAGGGGCGCTGATCCCATTTACTTAGTACGTTTTT